ATTTTGGAAATCCGGAAAGTTAGGGGCGAGAATATTGGAAATTTTGGAATTGAGTTTGTGAGGGCTGATCGCCACCCATCCGATGACACACCATGCACATCTACTCAGTTGAGAGGGCATGGTCTGTCAACGGGGGGGGGGCGACCATATATATATATATATGTAGAAAATATATATCTATATATATATATATATCTATATAATTATATATCCCTCTCTCTCTCTCTATATATATATATATATCTGTATATATATATATATATAGAGAGAGAAGGTCTCTCTCTCTCTCTCTCTCTCTCTCTCTCTCTTTCCCCATTATGGCAGCGTTAATTGATCAGTTCCTTAACAGCTCATGCTTCTTGCCAGCTCATTGCTCGTTGGGGACAGGGCGGGCTTACAGCAAAGAGCAACTTGATTGTGTCCTGTGGTGGCGAGGCAGAGAAGCAGCAGACGGACCTCAAAGACAAGTGCCTTGAACGCCTGGGGGGAATCATTTTTTCACCAGTGCTTTCGGACTTCTGAAAAATAGATACTAGTTGTTGGTAGTGTTTTGTAGCTATGTATATATATACACATGGATATATATATATATATATCTCTCTATTTATTTTCATAGGAGTGTCATAAAGTATTACATGGTCATATAAAGTTGCATCATGTGTGCCTTTAAGGATGAGCACCGCAGATGCGGATGAGCTGAAGAAGCTCACGGAGGTCCCAGGGTTGCGCCGATGTCCTTCCCTGTTTTCAATACCCAGGGTTCAGGGATTAGGGTTTAGGGTTAGGGTTTAGGGATTGGGGTTTAGGGTTTAGGTTTTAGGGTTTATGGTTTAGGGACTAGGGTTTCGGCTTAGACTGTTACAATGCAGCTATGCTAACCAAGTTGGTGCTCAATCCCGACAAATCTGTTCACTTGGACAGGAATCTCCAGCGGTACCTCAACCGAGTCTTCGGTGCGTTGTCGCACTATCAGAAGCCCTTGCTTCCTAAGTCACCTCGTCACCTGTGGCAATCCCGTTGTGGACCCTAGATCTTAAAAACTCGAAACACGAAACCCTAAGCCTCAAAACCCGGAAAGCCGGAATTTAGATCCCGATCCCCACGACCGACATGCGAAACAACCCTGCAGAGGATCTCCGGGCGTGCCTCGCGAACGACGATGCCGACCTGGATGACGTGAAGCAGAAGACCAAGGACCACCTGGGAATGGCTGAAGTTCGCGCCGCTAGGGCTTCTTGGTCCTTCTGAGTAGGAACGCGATCGAAAGTATTCTGGATACTGCCAGACACAGAGCTGGGCCAGGTTCATGCTAGATTGACCCTGTCATACTGCACTTTACTATACTATGCCATGCGATACTTTTGTATTGATTCTGTCTGAATGCGAGGAGCTCCAGGAAAAGGTCTGGAAGGTCACGCAGCAGGCTTATCAGCCGCGCGCCTGGTGTAGCACAATCCAGGGGCCTGCTTGGCGAAGTCCGGTCAGGCGAGAGTGGGCACCACTCTATACTGGCTGCTAGCCGTAACACGGGCACGACGAAGGGTCTTCTCTTCCTTCATTTACTTGTTTCCTGTCTGTATATACATGCACTTCATTCTGTATATGCTAGTCTGTCTGTCTGTCTGTCTGTCGGTCGGCCGGTCTGTCTGTCTGCATGCATGGATGCATGGATCTAGGTATGCATGTTTGCACATGCGTATATGTACTTTCCTGTAGTGCGTGCATGGGTGCATGCAGGCATGTACAACCAACATACAAGCATACACGCGCACATGCAGACGTACATGTACATACATAGATCTATACGCATGTGCTTAGACATCTTTGTAATATGCATGTACACACATATCTATCTATCTATCTATCTATCTATCTATCTATATGTCTATCTATTTGTCATGTTCTGGTTTATTCCAGCAGGAAAGGTGGTCGGGCGAGGGTGGCACCCAGGCAAGGATCTGCCAGCGAGGAGTCCAGCTCCAAGCCGGAGGAGGAGGCGCCTGGAGGGGAAGGGGCCAGTCGTCCCAATCCGCAAAGAGGATCGCCACCCTTAAGGAACCTCATAAAGCCTGTGATCATATTCTGTAGCAGTAATCGCTTGAAGGCCGCATATATGAGAATTTTCGTATGCCCCCAAACCCTTGTCTGATTATTCAGACCCTGAGAATAGCCGTTCTGACAATAAACATCTACTTATTACTACAACAGCGAAAATGGTAAGCAAAAGTAACACAGAGCAACATGAGCAAGTTTTCATGGTAAAATCAGGTGCAAGGTGTGTGCCAAGCAAGGTGCTGCATAGCTGTCTTGAACTTAAACTGCCATGTACAATAGTACGACTCCTGCTGCTTCTTCTGCGATGAACACCACCCGACACTTCAAGCATGGTTGTCATCAATGGCTGAGCAAGTGGTACGTCCATCTTCGGCTTGGACACACCGCTTCCCCGGACGGACTTCCTGAAGATCGGGGAACCTAGCGGAGTTGAGGGGTGGTGGGCCGTGGTGGGGGCAAAGTTTGCGAAGTCATAACGGCTTCCCTTCACAAGTAAGTACGTGATCCCTAGGTGCACTAAGTATACATGAGTGGGTACAAGTACTGACAAGTACTGCAGTATAGATACAAGTAAGTACGCGGAGAGAAGCAGATTGTGAAGGTAACATTTTCTTGAAGAGCGACGCATTATCTTCTCTGCTGCTTCTCAACTGGTCGACGGTTCGGCTTGGGGCTTAGGTCCGGGTTACAGCAGAATCTTGGATTTTGGGGCAAAGCTTGGCAAACGTGGGGGGGGGGTCGGCAATCTCCGATTAGGATATCTGCGTGCAGGAGAAGAAGGAGGAGAAGGAGAAGAAGTGATGAGCGTATCTAGGGCAGCTTTGCAGCTATCTGCTAGCTGGCATGTACATCGGCTATCCCACTAAAACGCCTGCAGCTGTCGCCGAAGGCGTCGGGAGCTGAGTTTTTGGCTTTGGGTAGAGGTTTGTCTTCTGGAGGCCGCAAGGTAGGCAATATTCAGGGGTCCTTTCGCGTCAAGGACGTCTACGTCTTGCTCTTAGCACCGCCGCACCGTGTGCCATGCTGCTTGCTGCTAAGAGAGTAGCAGCCGTGTGAGCTGGCGTGCTCCTAAGCAGGATGCAGGGTATAACGGAATAGGGATGCAATCCAAAATCGTATTCACGAGGACTAACTGCTGCTGGCGCGAATTTGCTTCTTCAGCTTGTACGACTGCTGGTGCCAGAGTAGAAGTAGTCGTCGTCGTAGCAGCAGCAGCAGCCGCATCATCTGCCACCGCTGTGGGCATCGTCATCCTCGTTGCCGTCTTTGCGTGGTCGTCTCGTCGAATGGCACTGGCGGGGGTGATAGTGGTAGTCGTCGTGGCAGCGGTAGTAGTCGTAGCATAATGAAATCTTTGTAGCCCCAAGAAACCCTCATCCTCCAAAGGGATGCCCAGCGCTTTTGCCCCGCGGTGTGTGCGGATATGTTCATTTCCCGAGCATGTTCAAGCTCGGCCATCGTTAATAATTTGCTTTGGGCCTGGCAAGAGAGGGAAGTCAGAGGTTTGCCACTGTCATGCACAAAACAGCTACGACCTTCTCCAGGTGTTGCAGCAGCAGCAGTACCATAGCCGTAGCAATAGCAGCAGGAGCAGCAGCAGCAGCAGGAGTGGTATAGCAGTAGTAGTAGTATTAGTAGTAGTAGTAGTAGTAGTAGCAGCCGTAGAAGAAGAAGAAGTAGTAGTAGTAGTAGTAATAATAATAATAGTAGCACTAGTAGTAGTAGTAGT